CCCCAAAACCCCAAAACCCCAAAACCCCAAAACCCCTTTAATCAAAATAAAAATTGAAATAATATATGAAAGGGTTCTATCTCTAATGCCACATGAAAGGAATTGATAAGCCTTGAACTGGCTTGCCAACCACACGATGACTTTGCATATCAATATTTACTCTTGCATTTGTTCTGTTCACAGTACTTGTATACATATCCAGATGGTCAGAATTTTGGACATCTCTTTTTAGAAGTTTATTATTCCTATCTGCTACAGAGAATTTCATTAAATGCTTTGATTTCTGAGGGACAACTCCTGTCTGTCTTATCATCCCAACCATTGATCTAGAAGCCTCTTGTTCTTTATTTTGATTCAGTAAACTTTTTGCCTAACCTTTCATCTCTTCTAGGAATGGGAATCTTGGCTTCTTCCATGTTCACAGTTCCCTTTCTAGTGAAAGTGTTTTTAGAGTTATCTATCAGAGAAGGAGCCTTATGAAAATTATTCTGTGAATATCCTGGAGTTCTTCTAGTTGTCCCTAAAGATTTTATTAACATATAAGCTGTAAATACACCAAAAGTTAGAAAATCAACCCAACTGACAAATACCTTGAAATTTTTCATAAGGAGATGTATGATTTCTATTTGTATGAACTGAATCAGTCCTGGTCATTATCTGAGAGCCAAGTGCAGAAAAGACGCCTGCTCCCTTTCTCTGAGCCTGGCCAATATACCCATGAGTATCGTATGGGTTGAAATATTTACTCCTTTCAACATTATACACTTCTTTTTCTTTCTTCTTAATTTCGTTTTGTTCTGAAAGAGCATCAAAATATTCCTTGAAGACAACAAAATTATTGCTCTGAGGGAAGTAATCCTCCAGACCATAGTATTTCTTCAAAAATGATAAATATTTAAAAGAAGGACGATCATAAGCAAGCATCTTTGGTTCTATCTTCTCGGTTTTTAACACACATTCGAACAAGTCTCTTCCGTGACCTGATCTTTGTCATTTTTCGTTAACATAGAAATCTAGGATTCAGAGAGGCCTGATGTTTATCATTGATGATGTTGAATATTCTCTGACAAAGAGATTTTTATAGCCAGTTTTTATCAGTCCGTATCATGTATGTCCTTGAACTTTAAGGTACAAGACATATTCACTTGATTTGAAATTTGAAGAGGTTGTTATTGGGATATGAATACCTTGAGCAAAAGAACTAGCATCTCCCATTTTATCTATAACTGTATTGAGATCATCCATCACTCCATACCCAACCACATTCATTGGAAGTATTTTAGCTATGAAGCAGTCTTCATCAGCTTTATTTTCCTTAGGGAACTTTACGACAGCTTTTGATCTAAGTAATTTGGACAGATTAGTTTTGAATTCCATATTATTTTATATTTCAAAACTTTCTTCTAAATAAGGGGTTTTGGGGTTTTGGGGTTTTGGGG